AGCCTCTATTCAACCTCTCAGTCTTTAGCCAAAATCTTGTTGAAGAGGGTGGGGGAATTTTAAAATACTTGCGGATTGTGATATAGCTCAGAAAATTCAAGTTTGCAACAATTCTGGAATGATCACATCCGAAATCACAACCACTATGATCACCTAGCACTCCATCTTGCCCTCAAATGCATTCCCCTCCCCAATGTTAAAGCAGATGTCACTGTTAATGATTTCATTGCTTTTCTAGATATGGGAAAATGCAAGAATTCAGGCTCATAAAATCTTCTGACAATATCTAACTACCTGAAGTCCTGTTCAGCCAGTTTTTCTCAGGGCACAGAGTGCCTCATTTCTGACCTCCATTCTGAATTCCTTTATTCAAGGGGTGTTGAAGTTCAGTGACTGTAGTGGCCATTGACTTAATCCTTGCAGAGGCAGATGGCAAGTGCCAATTTTCATTTGGCAGGGTCCCTTCAGGGTCATGTATGTGATCATGGTTTGGGGGGCATTTAATGACCATTTCATCCCATGGTGTTAGGAATGCTTATTCCCAGGTCTGGTGAAAATAGGCCACTCAGTGTGCTGCTATTATTGGACTAGGCCTCCTTTTAACAGTGCCAAAAGACTGGACCCTTTGTGTCACTAGCCTCTTAAGGAAAATATTGCCTCTTGTTCTTCCCATATCTAGAGTTATACTGTTACAGTCATTGATTTCATATCAAATTATATATCATCGTTTTATCAGAGGCTCAGTCACATATCTGATAATGCAGTAAACAATACTTTTGTAAAACAGGTAAAATAAAAAGTAACATAGCTAGCAGTATTAGTCCTTAGTATGATTTAATTGTCCCCAGCATAAGGGAGCCTGTAAATTTAAATGACCATAGCCTGGTGTTAATCTCCTGGTTGTAGATTATGGAGCATCTGATCTTTATCCAAAGATTAATTACATAGTTAGGCTTCAGAAACAAATTTAATGTTCTTCTGACAATTAGATTTTGTAACAATATGATGCACCAACAAGGAAAGTGGGTAAACATAGACCTTATTTAACAAAGCTAGAATTTAACATTCAGTGAAACCTCTTTTTTCTAGAATTACTTCCATTTTCATCAAGTACAACTGAGACTAATTTGTTTTTAAAATAAGTTTGGTCCATTGACCACATCGGTTCATCCACACTGACGCTGGTGTAATTCCTCAGTAGGAGTCTCAGATGAAAGTTTCCAAAAGACCTCTCAAGGCCAAGAAAGCCGTGTCAAAGGTCTGCCATCAGATTTTGCCTAGGTGACTTTCTCTCTTCTATAGAGGTCCTCAAAATATCAAGATCCCCACACACGCCAGAAGAGTCTTTCCCATCTGCCTGATAAAGCTGCTCAGAACCCAACAGTTTACAATGTTTAAAGGGAACAGGCAGAGGAAAAAGAAAAATATCTCAATTTTACTTACAGAGGTATAATTTACCAAACTGTTGTAAATCATAACCAACTTGAGGAGAAGGGCTTCCCTATATCTGGAAAACCTGAGTCAAAACCAGTGACATTTCAGACAAAACCCATAAAATTATTACTATATTCAACCGTCCATTTAGTAACCAATCCTCTTTGTAACTTTTTATGAAGAGATCACGTTTTCCCTTAGGACTTTTTTTTTCCTTCCCCAGTTCCCCAGTATAACGTGAGATTTAGCAGACTACAACAATGTTGTTGTTGTTCAGTCCCTGAGTCACGTCCAACTGGTTTCAACCCCATGGCCTTCAACACGCCAGGCTCCTCTGTCTTCCACTATCTCCTGGAGTTTGCTCAAATTCATGTCCATACATGAATATACATGAATACAACAATAGCCATCTATAAATCACAGAAAGACTTTAAAAAGTCATAAACATTTGGTCACAATGGGGTTGACAAAAGAAACTGAGTTATTGTGACATGCAACATTTTAAAACAACTAGAAATAATGACATAACATTTTACTAGGGCATACCAGATTTTTAGAAATTCCATGAAATTTAACATACTAATTATTAAGTATTTCTCTCTGAAGCCTTGGTCTTCTGCTGCAGCTTAGTTGCTTCAGTCATGTCCAACTCTGTGTGATCCTATGGACTACAGTCTGCCAGGTGCCTCTGCCCATGGGATTCTCTAGGCAAGAGTATTGGAGTGGGTTCCCATGCCCTCCTCCAGGGGATCTTCCCAACCCAGGGATCGAAGCCAGGTCTCCTGCATTGCAGGCAGATTCTTTGCTGCTGAGCCACCAGGAAGCCCTTTTAGAATCTGTCAAACAATACTTACTTAACCAAAGTAAAAGATTTCAATGGGAAATACAGATTACTTAAAAGTAAAGGAACTCACAAGCTGTCATCTAAAGCAGAATTCCAAGAAAACTTTGCAGGGTGAAACCAAATCTCTAGCCCACTCCCAATTAAATCCATGTACCCAATTAGATTTAATCTAATCTAACAAAATCCTATGGAAATCAACCCTGAATATTCATTAGAAAGACTGATGTTGAAGTTGAAGTTCCCATACTTTGGCTACCTGATGCGAAGAGCTGACTCCCTGGAAAATATCCTGATGCTGGGAAAGACTGAGGGCAGGAGGAGAAGGGACTGCAGAGGATGAGATGGTTGAATGGCATCACTGACTCAATGGACATGAATTTGAGCAAACTCAGGAGATGGTGAAGGACAGGCGAACCTGGCATGCTGTAGTCCATGGGGTCTCTAAATTGGGTACTATTAGCAACTGAATAGCAAGAGTTTTGTAAACATACCCTACAAGGGGGCTACAAGATGCAACAGAGTTCTGGTTGCCCATAACAAGGCTAGTCCAAAAGGGAAAATCCCAACCAACATTCCATCACAGGCAAAGCCTAATGGAATAGGGAAGGATTCCCTGGTGTTGCCACATGGGAGCCCTGTTGTTTATTCACTAAATCATCTTTGTGATCCAGTGGACTGTAGTCCTCCAATCTCCTCTGCCCATGGAATATTACAGGTAAGAATATTGGAGCAGGTTGCCATTTTCTCCTCCAGGGTATCTTCCTGACCCAGGGATCGAATGAACGTTTGTCTCCTGCACTGGCAGGCAGATTCTTTACTGCTGAGCCACGAGGGAAGCCCATAATAACTTCCATGCTAATGTCTGACTCTGTGACCCCATGGGCTGTAGACTTTGTAGCCAATGTAGACATTCTTCCAATGGGTTGGTGGTGAGGCAAGTAGGAGTCCACATCATCAACCTTCAGGTCCAACTGATGTGGGGTCTACAAGCTTATGGGCAACATACCATCATTAATCACTAACTTCTCCCACCTAGAGGGGGTTTCAGTCTCTACAGAGCAGCTCAGAGATACTGTTGTGTGTATCCTTTGATGGGGAAACAGGACCTTGCCCCAAAGCTGCTCTTGACTGTTTCTCCCTGGGCTCACATCCCCTTCCTTCCCTAATTAACAGCGGCTTGAATCTGCCCATTGGAACTCAGGAAAGTTCATGGGGGCTGAATAAAAGCTGTTTCCTATAATCAAAGAAATGGGGGACACAGAAAGTTCTTGTGCCCAGGAGCCCCACAGGTCCCTGCATGGGATCAACTGCAACCTCCACTTGGAGGTGGGAAGCCTGCATCCTCTTGACCCAGATGAAAAACACACTGGTGTTTGTTAGTACAAGCCTCACGCCTTATAGCAATGAGCCTTGATTGAGTTAAACTCCTTTTAAAGGGGAAGTGAGCCAAGGCACTAAAAGAATTGCTAGGCAATTATGTGGAAGCTTGGATGGGAGAAGAGTTGGGGGAGAATGTGTGCTGTGTGCTTAGTCACTCAGTCATGTCCAACTCTTTGCGACCCCATGGACTGTAGCCTGCCAGGCTCCTCTGTCCATGGGGATTCTCCAGGCAAGAATAGTGGAATGGGTTGCCATGCCCTCTTCCAGGGGATCTTCCCAACCCAGGGATTGAACCCAGGTCTCCCTCATTGCAGGCAGATTCTTTATCATCTGAGTCACCAGGGAAGCCCAAGAATACTGGAGTGGGTAGCCTGACCCTTCTCCAGGGGATCTTCCTGACCCAGGGGTCAAACCAGAGTCTCCTGCATTGCAGGTGGATTCTTTACCAGCTGAGCTACTAGGGAAGCTCTTGGGGGAGAATGGATACAAGTATATGTATGGCTGAATCCCTTTGCTGTTCACTGGAAACTCTCACAACATTGTTAATTGGAATTGTTGTTGTGACTGCTTCCCTGGTGGCTCAGATGGTAAAGAGTCTGCCTGCAAAGCAGGAGACCCAGGTTCGAACTTTGGGTTGGGACGATCTCCTGGAGAAGGGACTGGCTTACCCACTCCAGTATTCATGCCTAGAGAATCCCCATGGACAGAACAGCCTGGTGGGCTACAGTCCATGGGATCACAGAGTCAGACATGACTGAGCAACTAACACTTTCACTTACGTTGTTGTTCAGTCACGAAGTCATGTCCAGCACTTTTTGATCCCATGGACTGTAGCACACCAGGCTTTCCCGTCTTTTACTCTCTCCTGGAGTTTGCTCAGATTCATGTCCATTGAGTTGGTGATGCTATCCAACCATCTCATTCTCTGTCTGCCCCCTTCTCCTTTTACCTTTGCTATATCCTAACACAAAATAAAAAGTTGTTTTTAAAAAAAGAATTGCTAGGAGATGGCTCCCTTGGAACTGTTCATCTACCCAGGGTCAGGATCACACAGCCGATGAGACAGATAACCCATGCCAGTTACTGCAGGCTTGACTGGGTTCAGCCCTGTACTTGGGTCATGGTGCTCACATCACAGCCTGCACATCAAGACACTTATACATACTCTGAGTTGTGACAGCCTGCTTACTTCTGTGTGCCCCGAGCCAGACTGTAAGCAGACTAGGGATGGTGTTTATAGCTGGCAGCACTGGTTAACAGGCTGAGTGAACGTGGGCGGCCAGGGCGCAGGCCCAAGTACCCGGTGGAATCAGCTGTCTTGGCTTCCGCCCAGGCACTGCACAGCTGAGCCCAGGTTGGGCCCCTGGCATTCCTGGGGCACTGCATGGGGGTGGGGGTGGGGCAGTGGGAGGTCAAGTCTGTCCCGTCCCTCCTGCAAGCTACACAAAGCTGTTCCAGCATGTGCATCCGCAAATGAGGACAATAAATGACACCCTTGACCCTCCTGTAGAGGAGATGGAGCTGTGGTCTTGGCCTCAAATACCAACAGCAAACGGGACCTCAGGGATAGTTTGTACAGTAGTAGCACAGACCTTCCAAACTGAAAGAAAATGAAGGTCCTGAATACATTTTAGGTGAAAAAGTCCCCAGATGTACAGGGACCATGAGCCCAGAAAGGTCACCCAGTTTCAGATCACAAGGAGGAAAAACTAGTTTTGCCAGAAGTAGCCACTGTCATATAGCCCACTTAAATCTATAACTGACAGGCAAACTCAGGATGGGGAAACCTGAAATGTTCCCTTGCATTCAGACCAATGTGCGCTTACAACTCAGTGGTAAAGCGGTACAGTTCAACAGGTCAACTGTCTCAACCTCCTAAGGGTAGCTAGTTTATAAGAGGACAGGAGTGGGTGAATGGCCGCCATGCAAGGCAATGGGGCTACCACAGGGAAGGAATGTGTTTCTGTCACTGATTAGCACTTGGAGTCATTTTTTAAGCATTGTGTGTAGCCAGGTAGACAGCTGTGGTTCTGAATGTGAACGAGTTTGGCCAGTACATGGTGTTAACTTGGTTGAAAATGTGTATGGCAAGCTTCCTAAGGGCCACAAACAGCAGTGTACCTTCCTTGAGCAAAAAACCCTTCTGCTCAGCTTCTGCTCTTAAATTCTCTACCTCCAACCCCACTCGGTCCTGTCAGGTTGTCTTCCCAGAGCGCAGGGCCCTTCACAGCTTCCACAGTTCAGAATCACCAAGCAGTTCCCGACTGACGCGTACGCCCCAACCCCACCTCATGCTCCTCCCTGGTCCTTGAGGATCCAATCAATCTCCCCACGACTTCAAGCTTCAATGAAGTGGCACTACAGATGTTCTCCAAACCCCCAAGGCTCTTGGCTCCATCCCTTGGCTCAGTGATCTAGGACTTTGGGGTTTCAGGAACACATAAAATTTCAAAAAACACACTGGGGCACTGATAGCAGGTTGCCAACTTTTTTTTTTTTGCAAAATAAGACACTTAGAAAAGACCTCTACTTGTACAGTTTACAGTCTCCATCTTATTAAAAAACAAAATCAGGACTTCCCTGGCGGTTCAGTGGTTGAGACTCTGCACCTCCACCACATGGGGCACAATCTGATCTCTGGTTGGGGAAGTTCCATGTACAGTGCAGTGTGGAAAAAACAAAAGTCATAAAATGACAACAAAAAACATGACAAAATGAGCAAGGATAACTTCCAAATACAGGACAAGGAATCATTTTACCTCCATGAAAAATTTACTACATCGTCACTGCTATTCATTTCACCTCTGAAAGGTGGTGAGCCCACTAAACATGAGGCTCCCTGCCTTGCTTTCAGCACTTGGTCTTCAGACTTAAGCACACACAGAAGAACCACTAGGAGAGTTCGGACTGGGCCCATAGGGCTGGTCTGGGGAGAACCTGCAGTAAAACTGGCAACAAGGTTCTCTGCACTTCCTACCTTATGAAGCCTCCTCAGGCCATCCTCCGTAGAATATAATCTCTTTCTTTGGTTAAAATTTTTTTTCGGCTGGGCTACGTGGCATGTAGAATTAGTTCCCCCGGGATGAAACCTGTAGCTCCTTGCATTGGATACACGGAGTCTCCACCACTGGACCGCCATGCAAGTCCCATGAACATAATTTCTTAAAAAAATTTCCATCTCTCTTTTTATTTTTCACCAGGGATTGAACTCAGGTCACAGCAGTGAAAACCTGGAATTCTATACCACTAGACCACCAGAGAACTCTCTCATCTAGCTTTTATAGTGGAGACTCCTCTCATTTTCTGGCAGACGGCTGCCTCAATGTCCATTCTTACCAAATTCTGATCAATTATAGAATTACAGAACCCTGGATTTTTAGCTGGGCATTGAACTAGTGAGTCTCTCGGTATCCTTTGATGTGGTCATGTGGCTAAGTTCTGGCCAGTGGGGAGTGTAGGCTAGGTGCTGGTCTTCCTTCCTTCCAGCTGAACAGAATGAGGATGCGGCAGGTGGCACAGTCAGCAGCCCCAGGAGGTGGGAGCCAGCAGAACAACTACATGGCGGTCAGAGTCTGAGGACCACCAGTCACTGCACCAGCTCTGGGCCGACTACATTCACAAAGAAGAAGTGAAGTGAAGTCACTCAGTCATGTCCGACCCTTTGCGACCCCATGGACTGTAGCCTGCCAGTCTCCTCCATCCATTGGATTTTCCAGGCAAGAATACTGGAGTGGGTTGCCATTTCCAGATAGAGAAAAAACATCTTTTGCTAAGCCATGGATAGCCTGGCTTTTCTGTCAGCTTCGACCACTCGAGTCCTGCCTTGTTCACACTCTGGCTGTCCTAGACTGCTCTCTGCAACACAGCCATGTCTGGTCTGGCCTGGCAACCCTGCAGGGTCTCACGCAAATCAGCCCTCTCAATAACTCATGGGAAAGACTTCCAAGAAAATAGGTTCCTTGTTTAAGTATTTGTTAAAAAAATAATGGTATCATTCTGTGCTTTTTTGATAGCCTACCTCAGGACTAAAATCAAATGGAATTCTGAAGAATAATCAAGAGACTGGGTCACAAATTTATACAAAAAGTTCAGTGTTACATTAAGCATAGTACAAAAATGGTGGTCCCATGGTTAAGAATCTGCCTGCCAACAGGGTACATGAGTTCAATCCCTGGTTCAGGAAGATCCCACATACCATGGGGCAAATAAGTCCACGTACCACAACTACTGAAGCCCATGTGACCCTAGAGCCCGAGTTATGCAACAAGAGAAGCCAGCGTAATGAGAAGCCTGCATATCGCAACTAGAGAGTGGCTGCTGCTCGCTGCAACTACAGAAAAGCTTGCACCCAGCAATAAAAAAAGTACAAAGTGGAAACCTAAATGTTGAAAAATGTGCATTAGCTAAAATGAATTTCAGGATGAGAAAGGTCTCATAATATAAATTTTAAAGGTGAAACACCATAGAAATATAAGGTCATTTGGAAGGTATTCACACATAAGGTAAAAAGCCTTTACAGCAAAATAGTAAACATTCTCTCTGTGCCACAAGATTAAAGATGATTTAATTTTACTCTTTGCATTCTTCTATGTTTTTCTCAAGAAGCCCCAGTGCCTCTAAGTACCCACAGCCCCTCTTCCTGAAGGCACTTTTCGCCATCTGGCTTCATTTGCATGATGTGCAGGCATGGACAAATGCGTCCTCTCAGGGTGGAGAGTCAAGTGGGCATCGTGCCCTGGCCTCTGGAGGCCGCCCTTTCCTGAGTCCTGGGGTGTCTCCTGCATTCCTCCTCGGGGGAGGTTCTGGATTTCTCCAGAAACCACACTCCAAGGGCACACTTACCCCAGACTGCTGAAGAGGGTGACCTGGACAGGATGAGGTGTGTTCTTGCCTGCCAGAGATGGAGTGGCCGCAAAACAAAAGTCAGGAACCTGCTTTCTTCCAGCAAGAATTATTTTTTAATGGTTTAAAAATGACTCTGTACAAAACCAGCACCATTTGGTGCTTCCAGTCCACCAGGGGATCCTGAGGCTGTCTTCCAACACTATCTCTTTGGCCAATTGTGCCTGAAACCTCTGTAGAGACAATGTGAAAACAAAAGAGTTAGTTCTTGCAGCCTGGCTGAATGGTGGCAGTCAGCCAGTTTATAAAACGTTGTGAGGCTTAATATTGCAGAACCGAGGGACAATGGTCTGTTTGGGGTCGAGGAGAACGGAGCTGGGCAGCAGAGTGCACCCTGACACTCCCAGGGCACTCTAGGGGACAGGAGTGGAGGCAGGAGCAGCGTCCTGTGGCCTAGCAAGGGAGGGCTGGCGGAGCTGAGGATGGTCCCTCCTCCGCCACATCCTGGGAGCGCGTCCTCTGACTTCAGGGTCTGCTGCAAGGATTAGGGTTTTAGGCTTTTAACTAAAACACTCTTTTTTGGGTGATGCCATGCAGCTTGAGGGATCAGAATTGAACCCAGATTATTGGCAGCAAATGCAATGGACAGCCAGGGAATTCCCTAAAATATTCTTGGACAACAATGACTATCCATATTTGCTTACTGATTTTTTTTTCCTCTTTCCTCAGAAAGGGGCTGATGTAGGCAGATTTCAAACCTATTTGCTCTGGGATGACCCTGGGGGACCACGTGGTGATGGGAGAGGGCTGAGGGTGACTGGAGTCCTAGGAGGCGTGGCTATGACTGTGGTGTCCAGTGATCACCTCTCCTCCTCCCAGCTCAGTTTTCTGAATGACAAAGATCAGAATCAGGCCCGGAGATGTGCTCTGAGACTCTCTCTAGGTGAGGCCTCCTTGGGTTTCCCTGACCACGACGGCGTCTTGCACGTACCTGTCTGACTTTCCAGTTGGAAAGGACATGCTTTTGTTTCCCATTGACTGTTTAATTTTTTTGGCTGCAATGCATTTCTGAAAAGACAAGAAACCATCTAGGCTGAGTGACGACCATAACCGCACGACGCACAGGAAAACATGCCTGGGCTCAGACAGCCCATCAGAGCTGCCAGTGCCAAGGGTGTGGCTCTTGGTTTCCTTGCAACTGGACATTTCTGGGTGTTAGTGACAGCAAGGCTGTACGGATGAGCTATTGAGGGAATGGCCAGGCTCTACGTAGGCCTTGCTCACCCTCCCCATGCCAGACGTCCATTCACATTGCGCTCTGACTGGCAGCAATGCCCACGGGGGCAATGGCAGGCCTGTACTGGTACCACAGGGAGTGTTTCAGCCTGCTGCTATAATTCCCAAGGCAGCAAACAGTAACACCCTTCAAAACCACACACCCACCTTTAGAGATACTTTACAACATTTTTTTCCTGCTGAAATAGGTGATGGGTATTGTTTGTGCCTGGGAAGAAATGAGGCGAGGGAAAAGCAAAGCTATGCAGATGGAGAGGGTTCCTAGATGGTCCAGTCTTGCCAGCAGTGGAGGGTCAACAACACACACCTCGAGCCCACTGGGATTCTCAGTCTGATTCTTACCTTGCCTGACTGGGGCTGCTTGCTTGGGTCAAACTGGGAAGAAGGTTTGGATTTGCCGTTTCCTGAAAGGTAAGAGAAAAGAGAGGCCGGTGACCATGTGAGTGAGTTAGTACACACCACAGACTCACTACCGGGCCAGGTGCATGAGATCCAGGCAGTGTGCGCTGTCAGTTCGCTAGCCCTTCACAGACAGAAACTTCTGGCTTGCTGTCACCTCACAAATCATGTTCTCAGTAGCTAAGGGCAGCCTGGAGGTCAGGCTCATTTCTCACAGGTCTATTCTCAGGTCAGGGGCCGGTGGCTAAAGCACTGGCCAGTTCACATCAAGGAAATCCCTATGGTTTCCGTGAAGGATGAAGTCACTGTCCGTAAACTGGGACCAGAGGGGATGTTCTTGCAGAAAAGACGGCTGTGTCGCCAAGGAGGCTGCTCTGTCATCAGGAATGTCACTGCAGTGCTTTCAACACAGACAGGCTCTCACGGGCTAAGGAGGCACAGAGCTTCATCTTCTAGGCACCAGGCTGTCTCAACAAACCACATCTTGCTCAACAATCCACATCTTTACTCTGTATACGTGTGTCTGAGAAAAAGTGTTTCCGGACAGAACTTGTGAAGAAGGATGGAGCCACAATTATTAACAGAACGGACACTATCTTGATGAACCACCAGAGTGGCTCCTGCAGCTCAGTCCTTGGGGCTGAGGGCCGTGGGTTTCTGCTCTGTCCCCATCACATCCTTGTGCTGCCCTCACAATTCCAGGTTGTCTGCCTGGCCTTGGGTGGAGCTTAATTTCCACTGAAGTTCTGCTCTTTCCTCCCCTCCCCGCCACCTGCTTCCCCCTACAGGACGTGGTCCCTGCAGGACACCCCCTCCGGCCTCACCAGCAAAAGCCTTGAAATCTGACTTGCTGTAGTCATAGGGCGTAAAGTCTTTCTCTGGTGGATCTTTTGGCTTCTTGGAAATTTTGAGGCGTTTCTTCTCTTGCCTCTGTTCTGTCGTCCTTGGGTCACTCATCGTCCGCTCTCTTTTCTTGGCAGCATTCTCTAGCTGTGGATTGAACAGACCTGTAAGAGGGAAGCACGGCCACGACCAGGGCAGGAGACCACTCTGTGTGACCCCTGTGAGCACCCGCGAGGCACACAATGCCTCCAGGGCTGTAAACACAGGCTGGGGGGACAGAGAGAAGAGCACTGGTGGTGGGGGGGGGAGGGGGGTGTGAGCTCCCAGCTGGGGGATGACATCAGGCCACTTGGAAAGGCCAGAGCTGAGCACTCTAGGGTGCTGGGGAGCCGGGGTGGCAGGGGGTGAAACAGCTCCCAGGTGGAGTGGGACACAGAGTGGGCTCGATGCCTCACCTCCTTCTACAGGCCAAGGACATGTTTATCCCAAACCCAGCAGGAGAACCACCCCAGACGGACAGCAACGTTGACCTTCTGGGGTGGGGGGCAGGGGGCGGGCACGAGGCAGCACTACTGGACCAGCAACCAGAAGACGCCTATAACCCAACGCTGAGGGTGAGCCCTCCCGATATTCCAGACCAACCCTGACCACGATCAGAGAGAGCAGAAATGCAGGCACGTACGGCAGCCTGCTGGCGGACGGACACGGCCTGCTCCATGGCTGCCCTGTACTCCTCCTGGGCCTGGTCCTGGGTGACTGCAAGAGAGAGAGAACGGTCTCTGTGGTTGTGGCAGCAGCCGGACCTCTGAGACACTCTGCTCGCGGCGTCACCCCTGCTGAGCACGGCCCCCAGCCCCAACCCCCACATCCCTGGAGGACCCTGCCTTGCGGCTCAGCCCAGATGTTCCTCTCCTCATCAACCAACCTCTGGGTCCACACCCATGCCTGCTCCTCACCCAGCGGTCTCCGTGACTCCCCTGAGGACATGGCGTCGGGATCTCAACCCTAACAGGTCGAGGACCAGAACCAAAACCTCCTCCGCCTCTAACTGGCCCCCCTGCAGCCTCAATGTCCACACAGCCCCGCCTCCCGAGGCGCTCAGGACAAAACCTCCTGTCCATGAACCACCTCACCCAATGCTGTCAGCTTCTCTACGTGACACGCCAGGCTCTGACATTCCACCACCTGCCCTGCCCCCGTGACGTACACACCAGTGTCCCTCTTCATCTGTACACTGTGCTGCCTCCTGACTGGACTGCCCACCCTGCCCTCTGCCCAGCAGCTGGTGAGGCCTCCACACCTAAGTCAGGGTACAGCCCTCCCCTGCTCAGAGCCCTCCATGGCTTCCAACTCACTTGGAGTAAAAGTCCCAACAACAGACCCCTGCCTGCTCTCTGTCCTACCCTCCACGCACCCCCCGCCCCCATCCCTTTGGCCTCCTGGGTCACTCTAAGGAGTACTGCAAGCTGTGGCCTTGGCCTCGCTGGGCTGCCAGTCTGAACACTTTCCCCTGATGGCTACGGGTCTTGGCTCAATGTCATGTTCACTAGACCGCCTCCCTGGACCACTGTACAGAAGCAATCCACTCCCTGTCAGGCCCAGCCGCAGCACGTCCTTCCTATCTCTCCATAAGGACCCGCTGCCCTGACAGCTCACACACCTCCGGCTCACTATCTGCCGCCCCTGGGCAGAAGGGAGGCCGTGGAGGGGAGGACTGGGGCTGCTCGGCTGTGCCTGGAGATTTGCTTGAGTAACTGGACAGAAGAGTGAGCCAGGGCTGCTCTCAACCAAAGGTGCAGGCTGAGCTGACAAGGGGGTAGGCGCTACACTACCTGTATGCTCAGCTGCCTTCTTCTTGGCAGTTTCTTTAGGGTCTCTTTGTACCTGTACCTGGCTTGCCAGCTTCCAACGGTTGCTGATCTATAAATAAAAACAAACAAAACAAAAAATCTCCAAAACTCAGCCACCTAGGATGATTCTTTGAATGAGGTGACACAGAGCATGCTGACTGGTAGCTATATACATTCTAGGTCCTAAGTCTCATTATCTAATGATCCTGTATCTAATGACACGAAAAATAAGAGCTCATGCTGGCTTTATTTATAAAGTACTTACGTTATTCCAGCCACTGGGCTGGATGCCTGCATATCCACCCATTCAGTCCCTTCTATGACCCTGAGGCAAAGGTACCATCATCACCACCACTTTACAGACAGGAAATAGGTTGGGAGAAGCTAAGTAACGTGTCCAAGGGGACATGGTTAATAAATGGTAGAGATAGTGTTCAAGGCAGGACTCCTGCAAGTCTAAAGTGCTTCTTACGACACCACATTTACCTGGGGCATGAGAACACACCTTGGTGACAGGAAACAGTAAGTCTGGTAAGTCCAGTGGGCGGGGCGGGGGTGGGGGGGGGGCACGTACGGCTGCCCCCAGTAAGCCACAATGGGGGGGGGGTGCGGAAGAGAAGAGACAGCAGAAACCTCATCTGACTCCCCATTTCTAAAAACAGCAGGCTTATCAACAGTGACAGGGCGGAGGCCCATCAGGGTTTCAACCTGATTCTCCTTTCCGTTTTGTTTTTTTTGGCCGTGCCACATGGCACGTAGGATCTTAGTTCCCTGATTAGGGATGGAACTCTCTCGTCCCTGCACTGGGGAGTGTGGAGTCTTAACCACTGGACTACCAGGAAGTCCCTTGGCCTGACTCTCTGGCCTAAAGAGCAGTGTGGGGGTGGGGGGTGTGTGCAGAGGGAGCCAGGCCACCCATCTGATCAGAGCACCACCTCCTGCAGGGAGGAAGAGGGCTTTTAACAAACAATTAACATGCTGGCTCCCAGGAATATCTCATGGGGATCCAGGGAAGGTGGATTCTTATTCTTACTTAAAATGCTGCTAAAAACAAACCACACAACATACAACAGAATGTTTCAAAATTTAAACTGTCATCTTTAAGAGCGTTAAAGTAATATTCATAAATAGAAATGCATCAAGCTGTACATTTTATCTGTGTACTGTATACCTTGTAAATTAAACTTTAATTAAAAACAAAAAACAAAGAACTGTTTCTTTAAAAAGTTCCCCAATGCTTTCAAGAATCTGATTAAAGTCTGGTTCCTCTCTCTGGAAACAAGGCTTATATATGAAATGTTTCTTGCACTCATTTTCAGGGAGGTTCAAAGATGGGCTTGTTTAGAACAGAAACCTGGTTTAAGAAATTAAGAAGTCCTCTTTTCTCAGAAAGTTCACTCTTAGAAAGGGTGACAAATCCACTTACTTCATAGATTTTTGATGATGGATCAAACTTTGCTGACTGAGAAATGTGAGCCCGGTGTTCTACTGAAGGCAGAAACTGGAGAAATGGAAACAGTCACGTTAAATGCCGAGAAATAGAATCTGGACCCAGAATTCGGTGGCACTCAGATGGGGGTGTTCTGCTGGTTACATCTTAGGAGGCCTCAATGCAAAGTGTCAGCCTGGCTGCAGCTGCCTGGCCCTCAAGTGGGGTCCTCTTGTTGACTTGGTCTCAGAAGACCTGACTCAGGGTCTCGACCCACTGCCAGGGATGACGTCACGGTGGTGAGGCTTCTCCGGTCTCTGAAGTCTCTTGGTTCCTTTTTCAGGCAAAAGGCACCTCCGGCTGCAAAAAGCTCTGCCTCTTCTGTCAGCCCTTAACATATGCAACCAGTACTTACCATCCGAAATGGATTTTCAAAGGACTCCATTATGTTCTGGGCTTTTTTCTGTGCAACTGTTAATGGACTCTTTTCATTTCCTTCAGCACTAGGTTCCTGCAGGGACAGAGAACAATGGCTTACAACTATGACCATTTTATGATATTAGATGCAGGCAAGAGGAGTAACAGTAACAGTAATAATACCAACAGCTGACTTTTTAAAGTTCTTTATTTATTGGCCATGCCACATGGTACATGGAATCTCAGTTCCCCAACCAGAGATTGAACCTGTGCCCCCTGCAGTGGAAGCATGGAGTCAACCACTGGACCACCAGGGAAATCCCTAAAATTTCTTTTCTATTTTAAAAAAATTTATTATTTTATTTAAAACTTTTTCAGGAATTCCCTGGTAGTCCAGTGGTTCGGACTTGGTGCTTTCACTGCCAGGGCCCAGGTTCAGTCCCTGGTCAGGGAAATAAAAATCCCACAAGCAAAGTGTCACAGGAAAAAAAAAAAACTTTTTTAATTAAAAAAAATTTTTTTAAATCAATGTATCATTTATTTATAATATTAATGACTAAGTTTTTAAAAAAGCCTCTCCTGTGTATAAGGCACTACAATAGCTTGTAATAACACACAGTGAGGTGTTCAATATTTACATATTTACTTGCCACACTGTGGCATGCAGAACTTCCCTCATCAGGGATTGAACCCACGCCCCCCTGCAGTGGAAGCATGGAGTCTTAACCTCTGGAGTGCCAGGGAAGTCCCAATACACACTCATTGAATCAGTGAGTTCTCACCACATCCTTACAACCTACAAGGTATGTGGCGTTACTCTCACCATGGTACAGATAAGGAAACTGAGGCTGAGAGAGGTTAAGAAAGTCTTCCAGAGCCTTACAGCTAATAGGGGCAGAATAAGGATGTAAGTCCAGATCTGGCTGACTGGAGAACCTGGGGTTGTAACCTGAAATTAGCTGAAATTTAAAATCATACACCTTTATGGGTGACCAACAAAACTACGCAACAGAATGTTGCTCTCACTGGGGGCATCAGCCTGCGCTAGCCCCTGGCCTTCTCTGTGGTCAGGCTTCCTGCACACCAGGAACAGGGATGCAGCCTCTGCTAGACAACACACAGCGCTTACACATCCACATGGCTGCAAGTTAACACTCACATCTTTAGCTGCCTAATCGCCTCGGTGATTCAATGAACCCTGTGGTCAACTAAAGGTCCTAGACTTCTGTTTGCACTGGCTACTAAAACAAGACTAACTGTATGTAATTAAGAGAAAAGGAAAGTTCACTCCCAGACAGTTAACACATCTTGCAGGTGGTACTTCACCTCCCTGGCACTGGCGCAGCATCTGAGTGTGATGGGAGAGTTGTGAATAGGACTGGACCACCCAGCTTCTTACTATCTGAACACATGCTAAGCATGAAACTTGTCTTTATCCAGATAGTATGCTTGCTTCTCTTTCTCAGTTCTTTCTAGAAATTATAGTTTTTCCTTCTTAGCACATCTGGTGTATTTCCTGGTGGCTCAGATGGTAAAGAATCAGTATGCAATGCAGGAGACCCAGGTTTGATCCCTGGGTCAGGAAAATCCCCTGAAGAAGGGAATGGCCACCCACTCCAGTATTCTTGCCTGGAGAATTCCATGGATAGAGAAGCCTGGTGGGCTATAGTCCATGGGGTCGTAAAGAGCCAGACACAACTAAATGACTAACACTTTCACTTTCTTTCACATCTATTGTGTGCTGTATTCAGATTTTTTATCTGTGTGATTTCCTTTTATCCCTGGTCATCTTGCTAACTATCATCCTGACCAGCACATGCACCCTGGTCTTCCTTTTGCACAGAACCCAGAGCTCATGTCTGTGGTGGAAAGGAGAAGCGTGCTGGGTGGGATTGATCAGGACAAACTCTATCGTGTCCCAGGCCGGATTACAGGAACAAGGTCCCCAAGTGGGCCACACTGGATGGAGTCTCTACCTACCGGGGCTCAGCCTCCCTGGGAGGGGGAACAAGTTCCTACCCACTTCCTGGTACTTGCATCTCCTGGTGCTCACTTAATCTAACAGGCCAGATTGGGGAGAATGCTTTTCTTTTCTCTTGCTTTTTTTCCTACTTTTCATCCAAAGCACATATAGATGATGCTGGCGATCGTCAGGAAAGTATAAGCAGCACACACTATGAGTTCACTGGAAACACTGTTCCACCCCTTCTGGGAATCAGGATAAACTGGCCTTCAACTGACCTCGGATGAATGGGGAAGAAAGGCCTCTGTTTATACATCCCTGGAGCTCCTGTCCGGCTCCCTTGGGGCACTTCCCCTGAGGATTTCCTCAGGCAGCACACAGAACTCTCCACCACCCCTCACAGACCTCCTCATCAGGGCAGCAAACACCATCTGGCCAATAGGCTTCCCGCCCAGCCCCACTGCCACTGGCTTCCACTTCCGGCAGACGGCCTCCTGTCTGATAAAGCCAGCACATCCCCCCAGTCTGGGTCACGTCCCGGATGGTGTCACTCACGTTAAATAATGTGATGACAGCGGTAGCGACGAGACATCTGATGTCTGGCAGGGTCTCCTCGTCTTCTTGCGCGGAGAGGAGGCCCTCCTGTTTCTGTACCGGCGCAGGCCCTACAGGGAGGGGAGTCAGCATGGGCCAAGCCGACGGGGCGGCACGCTGGGCAGCCCCACCCCCGGGACGTGCCAGGGGCCTCTTCGTTACCGTCGGTTGGGATGAGAGGGTAGCCATCTGATGGGGTATGGGAGCAGTCATGGGGGCCAAAGAGAACATTCTCCAATCTCTGCATCAAAAAGAAAGCAACAGGCCGGCGCGAAGGACTCTGTGACCTGGTGACAGGCCCTGGTGTCTGTCAGGAAGGCTGGGTCTGTCCACGCTGTGACTGGTTCCCCCTCCCTCCCTCCGAAAAAGCCACAAGGAACACATCACGGTACCTCAGGGTTGGGCAGCGGCCCACTCTTCCTCACTCCTGCTGCGACTTCAGACTAGAGTCAGAACAGAGAGAGTGTGAGGAAAGTTCCCTAAATTTGATGACACGCTCATTTTCTTTTTTTCCTTCAGCACAGACGTGTCTCTTCACTAGACGGTGTTTCTCAAGAGCCTGAGACTTTCTCTCGTCCCTTCACCCCTTCCAGTGCCTGGCACCGTGATTACTTGTGCTCAGTAATTATTTGCTGGATGAAAGAATAAAGCCCTTTATCACAGTGAGCCACAACACAGAAGGATTCCAAACAGCTTGAGAAAGATTTTTGTCTAGTCACTGGCATTTTGCTCTTTACTTGGACAAAGTATAGAGTCAAGAAAGAAATATTAGCATGAAGACACTAAATGTGCATATCCTCAGAGTCTCTCCTTTTTTACCTCAAAGGGGCTGATTTCAAGTCACCTGGGATCAATAATCTTTCAAAAATTACAAACATGTTTTACACATGCTAATATTACTACTGAGACAAAACATTAAAAACTGTGCCAATGAAAACACAAATCGAAACATGCATATCTTTCTGGACACCCTCTCTTCCACCCCCTGGCAAGGGCAGAATAAATGTTTGTGTAGATTAAAAACAAAACATACTGTAATATGTTTTATAGATATGACATACTGTAATACCTACACAAGAACACAGGTGTGTTGGTATGTATGTACCCATGAAAGGCACACACATAGATGTATGGGTTTTTATTGTGGGCTGGGCATCCTGCTTTCATCTAAATTTGCCTAAACTTTAGCATCTTCACAGTTAGCTCTTTCTGAATTACCTTCTCTCTGGGGTGCTCTTGTTTCTTGTCACCTTGGCTTTCTGTGTGGAGTGAGTGGTCCTTGACTCCACTTCCATTATCTTCAACTCTACTTGCCATTCAGAGAACACCTCTAAAGTACTTAACATGGTGCTCAGAAAAGAATGGCAGCCACTGTCACCACCCATTATAAAGTCCCATCAATCTTTGCTTTTGAAGATGTTTCCTGAACCTGTCTTTTCCCTTTCATTCCTGTGACCGACACGCTCATCAGGGCTCTTATCATCTCACTTTGGACTACTGCCAGGCTTCCAAAATGCAGTCTCTGTGCTGAGATCCCCACTCCACTTTACCCTGCAAGGCTGACTGCCTCGGGACAACAGCTAACCAGCGCATCATTGGACATCATGAGACATCACTGGCCCTTGGATTAACAAAGATAAGGTTGCAAAGAAAGAAGGATGAGGGATTCCTTGGTGGCTTGGTGGTATAGAATCCGCCTGCCAATGTAGGACACGTGGGTTTAATCCCTGGTCCGAGAAGATCCCACATGCTGTGGAGCAACTAAGTTCATGTGCCACAACTACGGAGCCTGTGCTCTAGAGCCTGGGAGCTGCAACTATTGAGCCCACAGCCCCAACTACTGAAGCCTGTGTGCCCTAGAGTCTGTGCTCGGCAACAAGAGAAGCCATTGCAATGAGAAGCCTGCATGGTGCAACGAAGATTAGCTCCTGTTTGCCGCAAATACAGACAAGCCCATGCAGCAGTGATGCTCCATCACAGCCAAATACAAATAAATAAATTTTTTTTTAAAAAAAGGATGAACTTTAGCTTCTGACTATCATAAAGACACACCCACTGGGTTACCTAAATCCTATTATTTCCTCAGGCTTTTCAGAATGGAGACCGACTCACGTGTGAAGGAGACTATAAAGAGCAAGACGGCAGCAGAGCTGAGAACCTGTGGAGTTGGGGAGCTTCTCACCTTGAGAAGAGGCATCTCTCGCGCCTGCTGAATCAGAAGGTGCATTTCGTTGATCTGCTGCCGTACGAGAGGAGGCACAGGGTTACAGCAAGCAATGATGCCCTGAGGTTCCCTGAAGGAAGTGAGAACACATTCAACATTGCCCAGGAGTGTGGCCCACAAAGGCTCCAGGAAAGAACAACGACCCAGTGAAGCCAGAGTGAGAACTGAGGGAACACGGTTCGTCAGAGTGACCCCACTGGCTTTCCAAGACGTGCTCTCTGCTGCACTGAGCCCTGAGCAGACGCCTCCCACCGCTGCCTCCTGCTCGCAGGGAGGGCTGGAACACAGCCCCAGAGCTCTGCTCACCTGCAACCCTGCAAGGAGGTGCCAGGTGAGGATGAGCTTTGATTCTCTGCTTATACTCCAACTAACATCCTAAGACATCTAAAATCATGAGATACCTTAATCCAGAAGGAGGCACAGATGAAAGAGTCTGAGAAATTTTCCCTCTAAAGTGGATGCTCCAGGCTCAGAGACTTACATGCTGAGGCTGCTGTTAAGTCGCTCAGTCATGTCCAACTCTTTTGTGACCCCCATGGACTGTAGCTTACCAGGCTCCTCTGTCTATGGGATTTTCCAGGCAAGAATACTGGAGTGGGTTGCCATTTCCTCCTCCAGGGGATCTTTCCCACCCAGGGACCAAACCCATGTCTCCTGCATTGGCAGGCGGATTCTTTACCACTGAGACACCTGGGAAGCCCAGACTTACATGGGAGTCCATATAAGGGATAAACATGGAAACAGCTCCAGTTCTGAAGCTCTGCTTCCTAAATGGCAGTGCACGGCAGAGATTCTGCATTCCTTGGACTTGCTAACTTTCTCAGAGCACTAATCTGCTCTAAGTAAACAGCCCTGAGGTAACAACAATCAGGGAAGCCGGATCTGAGGGACACTACTTTCTCCACTGAGGAAGTCAGAGCACATTAATCAGTCCTCACTCACTTGGGCAGCTCCTCAGCTATCTTTAGCATCATGTGGTTTGGCAGGACGTATCTGGAATAAAACACAACAGGATCCCATTAAATTCTGCCAACATGCTCCATGATGTGCTGTAACCCTGAGAAAACATAATCAACTTTCACAGTGAAAAGAATTGAAAAGGCCCATTATTTCCTTGTCACCAGACCCAGCAAGAATGAAAGGGGTCCATAGTCCCTTACCCGTAACTCTCATCTTCCCGACGAGCTGTTTTATCCCTCCAGGCAAACAGCAGCTGAAAGGCCGTCAACTGCTGTGTGTTCAGATGCTTCTTCTGCTTCCTATAGAGTTCCAGGTAAGATTCGTCTGTGAAGATGGGTTTGATGAATTTCTGCAAAATATTAGAGAATATTCAAGATTAGTGTGAATCAATACTGTGCCCTGGGCTCTTGAGGACACTGGGCTCTTTCATGAGTGCAAACAGCAAAGCAAACGTGCGCCACCACAACCACTGAGCCCTTGTGCCACAACTACTGAAGCCCACGCGCCTGGAGTCCATGCTCTGCAACGAGAAGCCACTGCAGTGAAAAGCCCGCACACCCCAACTAGAGAGTATGCCCACTTGCTGCAACTAGAGAAAGCCCGTGTGTAGCAACAAAGACCTAGTGCAGCCAAAATAAATTAACTCATGCCCGGGCTGTACCTTGAGGCAGATGTCTCGACTGCGTTGCCACACCACCTGCAGCTGCATAGGCTGCTCATTGCCGCGCTCCCACAGCTCTAGCCGCATCTTATCATAGATGTACAGCAGGTAGTGAGTGTCATCTCGGGCGTAGCTCAGCATTTCCTCGGGCAGAGGTCTAGAATTGCAACAGAGAACGCCGTTTCACTGGTTTCCCCCTCGGTGGCAATTTGACTCGACTACCCTGTGGGTTCCTGCTGAAGTCCAAGAGTCTCCTCTGGCCAATACTACAGCCCCACCAGCTTCTCTGGCATCCTTATGGGACAAGCCGTTCTTTCCACAGCTGGGCAGAAGGGGCAGCAGGGCAACGAACGACATGGTTAAAAATCAGGGCCCTGTCTTGAGTGTGAATATTATCCCACTGTGTGACATGTATTAATGGTTAAGTAAAAGGAAGTGGTTTTTAGATTTTAATAATTCTCATCTTATAGTCTGACTTTACTAAATTCTCTTGAGAAATTCTGGCATGAGACATGCAGAAGAGCTTGGTGCTTCTCCATACAACAGTTGCAGCCTCAGAGAGGAAGCCAGCCATCTGAAAATGACCAAGGAAAGCAAGAATCCCACAAAGTGTGGCAAGACTCCGTAACAGCCTTAGATAATAGTAAATACTATAAATTATTACATTTATATAGTATATATTTACTATATGCTATATTTACTATACTGTAAATTACTATATAGTAATTACTCCACTATAAATTACTCAGATTACAGTAAATACTGATTACAACGCTAAGTTAACTGTGTTCTTAGAACTCTCTCACACTTATGGGAGACCATTTCATACACATGTACCAGGGAGATGTGGGTTACAAACAAGAGACTGACATGGACAAATGCTGACATGGCATGGAAATTTCAACTATTTCCATGAAGCATGATGCACTATTTATTTGTTTATCTAAGACAGTAATTCCTGCCTTTTTCAAATATGAAGCATTCTTTTCACTTTAATTTTTCTTATAATTTATGTTCAAGTACAATCTAATTTCCACCTCAATAAATATGAAGCATTTTTTTTAAACCAATCCACTTAAAAAGTTTTAAATACTTAACATTCCCCTCTATGTAACATAATCAGTCCAACATAAACTCTACATTATTCTAAAACTTCCAGCTGTCCTTGTGCCACTAAAAACAAATGGAGAAAAGCCCAATGACATTCAACTCAAGATCCATATGGGGTACCTCCCTGGCGTTCTAGTGAGTAAGAATCCACCTGCCAATGCAGGGGACAGGTGTTCGATGCCTGGTCTGGGAACTAAGCCCGTGCAGTACAACTAGTGAGCCCACCCAGCCTCGAGGCTGGGGTCCGCAACGAGAAACCACTGCAATGAGAAGCCCAAGCTCCACAATAGAGAGTGGCCCCTGCTTGCAACAATGAAGACCCAGTGCAGCCAAAAATAAACTAAAGAAAAAAAAGAGAGAGAGATCCAAACGGTGTTACAGCCTGCACGCAGGTCTCCACAGTGGGGTTAACAACCACCCAGGCCTCCCTCCGCCAGCCCTGTTTCCTCATCAAGAACAAACTGACCGTATCCGCCAGTCGGCCAGCTGGTACTGCTTGTTGGACTCCACGTTGCAGTAGAGCTTCAGGAGGTGGTCCAGGGAGTGCCTGCCCAGGTTAAGAAGGCGAGCTGCCTGGTGAGTATCAAACATGTTCACCACGTACAACCCAAAGTCCTTCTGGAGCCATTCTATGTCTGAATCGGCACCATGGAAGACCTGAAAATAAAACCATAGCTGTGCAGTACAGAGGCACAGGGCTGTTTATGCTCTGAAATGAACTCTGTCCCTAGGTTATTAGAACACTGGAATAGAAGCCAGGATAAAGATAAAGATGATTCAGTTTTACATGTTTCTTTTAGTTTGGCCAGTCTTCTACAATCCTAATTGCATGCTTGTAACTGCTAACAGCTGATGACTCTAAGAAGGCCACGTTGCTAGCTTCAAGGGCAGTCATTAAGTCCAACAATCTTGAGATCAAGGGCTTGCTGCAGTACTCATTAAAGTGCTTTAACATTTTTCTGGGTGGTGGTGAGCTAAGTCTTAGCTGTTCTAACAGAGGGTTAGAAACAAAAGCATGTGGTACCCTAGCGGTGTTAAGTTATTCAGTCGTGTCTGACTCTTTGGGACCCCATGGACTATAGCCCACCAGGCTCCTCTGTCCATGGGATTCTCCAGCAAAAATGCTGGAGTGGGTTGCCATTTCCTTCTCCAGGGGATCTTCCAGACCCAAGGATCAAACTCGGGTCTCCTGCATTGCAGGCAGATTCTTTACTGTCTGAGCCACCAGGGAAGCCCATCCTAGTGGAGGAAGTTACAGTTTCTTCTCTCAGCTTTACTGTGGCTACGCTGAAATGATGACAAGAGTAAACTGAGAAGCATTTAAATCGTGTGCTCACATGTAAGAGTGGGAAAAGGCTGGCTGACCTTAACAACAGCTGGGTCTGTGAGGCTCTCGTTGAGAATGTACATGTCACTGCGAAGCTCCAGGGTGTCAACAATGAAGTCTTCTGTCCTGGTGGAAATCTGCATCAGGCAGGTGAGCCCCAGGAAGCTCCTGTAAGAGTGGTGCTAAAATACACAGAAAGAAAGGGGAACAGGGAAAAAACGATTTTTATCAGGCTTACAGTTAAATTGATTTTGAAAAATCAGTAATAAATAAAGTAATGTGATTCTTACCAAAAAACAGGTCTAAATTAGTATTAATTTTATACTTCTTTTGAACTCACAGAAAATGTAAACACTTCATTTTAGGTCATTAATAAGTTACCTCTAAGTCTACAGCAAATTCTTGACACTTGAGGAGTTTTTCGTTGAGTTCCACTAGTTCATCCAGTGTGGACACGAAGTGGCAGGGTGTCTCTCCTACAGGTCTGTATAACTGCATCACAAAAGTATAGGGAGAAAGAGAAGACTCTGAACCGTCATCTTTCACTAAAGGACAAAGTGAATTATGAGCCCAAGAAATGATCCCAAGTCACACCCTTCTATTTGGGAAGCCAGAAAATTTGTTTGGCTTTCCATAACATCTTACGGGAAAACTCGAATAAATTTTTGGCCACCCCAATACGATAAAAGCAACTAAGGAAAGCTAAAACTGCATCCAGTCATCGATGTACGTGATTCTTCCTGGGTTACTTGGGAACCACCCATCAGCTAAGATGGGCACTTACCTGAGGCTCTGGCTTTTGAAGGACTGAGTCTGGTGGTGTGAAGTGATCTAGTTCATACTGATAAGGATGTGCAAACCTGAATCGGTAAAATGAAAAGGTACAAACAATAAATGCTGGAAAAAAGGCAGCCCTCTTGCACTGCTGGTGAGAATGTAAATTGATACAGCCACTGAGGCGAACAACATGGAGGTTCCTTAAAAAACTAAAAATAGAACTACTACATGATCCAATAATTCCATTACTAGGGGTATACCTAAGAAAACCATAATTCAAAAAGACACATGTACCCCAATGTGCACTGTAGCACTGTTTACAACAACTAGGACACAGAAGCAACCTAAATGTCTATTGAAAGATGAATGGATAAAGAAGACGTGGCATATATATACAACGGAATATTAGACAGAAAGGAACGAAACTGGGTCCTTTATAGAGAAGTGGATGGACCCTAGAGTCTGTCATACAGAGTGAAGTCAAGTCAGAAAGAGAAAAACAAATATTGTATATTAACACACATAGGAATCTACAAAAACTGTACTGATGAACCTATCTGCAGGGCAGGAAGAAAGATGCAGAAGTAGAGAATGGACCTGTGGACATGGTGGGGAAGAAGGTGGGACCAATTAACAGCGTAGCACTGACACACATACACTACTGTGTGTACAATGGACAGCGAGTGGGAAGTTGCTGTATAGCCCAGGAAGCTCGGCTTGGTGCTCTGTGACGACCTAGGGGGCTGCTATCTTGGAGGACTGGGTGGGAGGGAGGCTCAAGAAGGTGGGAGGATATATTTGTACATACAGGTGATTCATTTTGTTGCACAACAGAAATGCAACACTGTAAAGCAATTACACTACAATAAAAAACAAACCAAAAACATAAAAAGAAAAATCTTTGTGATTAATTCCATGATTCAAGGAAGACCAACTGTTTTAATCCAGTTTGTTAAAGCAAACAAGAAAAGAACATTGTGAAAATACTTGCTTCAATGATAATTCAAGTGCATCAAAAAAAAAAAAATTAGGTGAAATTTGTTCACCCTTAAAAGTATAACAAAGTATAATAAAAAATCTATTCATTTATAAAGATTTGAGCACTAATTGGAATAACATTGTATAGCTGCTGCTGCAGATGATACAGAAAGGTGGAATATATAATTCTTTGTGATCTGGAATAAAGGATCTGTGAGGTGAGAGAGGATGGGGCAAATATCTCAGTTGTCATATACTAAATGATGCATTTTTTTCAGTTCTGCTATCAGATTCTGGCATAAGAATCCTGTCTTTTTTGAGTTCCTTGAGGGCAGAGCCACCTTTCAGTACCTTTATTTCTCCAGCACTTGACTGGAGGCCTCATAGTGCAGAGCTGGGGTTGAGGCATGAATGCCCAGACGCTTTGGCTATGTGTGAGAAAGGGACCAACACTGACAAAGTCCTCCTCATCTTTTTTCTTTACACTGAAGGCAAAGTCCTATTGTCTGTTTTAAGCAAAGTTTTTCCAAGATGCTCATACAGTCAGGGAGAAGGTCTTTTCTGTGCTAAGTTTACAGGTGAGCCTTACCTCCCTGTGTGAGACCTCACCTGACAAGAGAGGCAGAGTGGTACAAAGGAAAGAAAATTTTAAGAAAACCTGGGTTTGAAGTTCTAGTTCTGTGGTAAGTTAGCATCTCAAGTTTGGTTCTTTCATCTGTACAGTGGGGATGAGAGCAACTGGCAGCTCTTAGGACTGTGTGAGGGCTATGTGAACGAGGCCTGTGTGAGGCCCTCTGTGAAAACAAGCAGGAGGTCAGTGGCTAAGATTCACATCAGGATGAGGGGAAGTGTCACCCCCCGCTCAGGTTCCAATCTCATTTACAGATTTTACAAAAGTGATGCACAATGAAAACACACATGGCGGTCAAGACTCACAACAGGACATTCAGACAGGTGAACACTTACATGTCCTGCTCCACCTGCTGGGTTCTCTGCTGATGGATTAAATCCGCCAGGGCAGGGGGCACATCCAAGTCCTCTGGGCGGTCTTGTGGGCGTTCCCGCCTTTCTTTGGAGAGTGCTGGAGACCCAAGCAGCGACAAAGACAGGTTTGCGCTTTGTCTAGTTACCAAGGGTTAACTGGCTCCCTCTGAATTTGAAGAAAGGAAGGCGGGAGGGAGACCCTTCCCCCTTCATTTGTGTTGTTGGGCAGAGTTGGCACCACTTACCCTGAGGGAGGGGTTTCTGAGCATTGGGCTTGATGAAGATTTTGGGAAGAAATGGTGTGTTAGAGTTGTCGATCTTCTCTCGGAACTTAAGCTGAGGTCGGATGATGTTCTTTGCATGAAGCAGCCGGAAAGTTTCAGATTTTGTTTTTTTGCTATATTCTCCTGCCTATGATCAGCAAATACAAATACTTTTTAACACAGCAACTTGAAGACTTAGAAAACTAAATTCCATTTTATGCCAACGGCCACCCATTAAAGAATGTATGTGTGACACTGGGGGGGTGGGGGGTGCAAAGTAGACTAGAGGGTGGAATTAGGTTGTGTCTGTTTATGAGAACAAGTTAGGCAGTGGCCAGTTCTGTGTTCAATAAATTAGAACAGAAACGCAAATGAGAAAGGGCAAAGGCCCTAAAGTTGGTATCAGATACTCCAGTGCATCTGAAAAGCAACCCTCACCTTCCGGTTCCAGCTGGACACTATGGTTTTGGGGACCTGTAACCCTGCAGGGAGGACAGGTTGTTGATTCTTATTCATGCCTGATGCTTCGTCCAGTAAAATGCCCTAAGAGTGCAAGAGGTATTAGTTTAGTATCTTCCTTTAAGGGTTAAGAGTTAATTACCTAAAATTTTATGATACATAGGCAGAGAATTACGTGCAAGAGTACACATTTGTAAGAGCGAATAACTCTAGCAGACATGATTTGAGAGTCAACCCAAGTAATTAAAGCATTACTTGCTCAAAGGTAGGGCAGTGATCAGGCACTCCCAACCCTTGACTGACTCTCTTCACAGTTCTGAATTGGGCTGAAAATTCAAAAGTGACTTAACAGGATGATGTGGCCTACTATCCTAGACTGCATTAAATACAGAGGAATGGTAATCAGAGTGAGAATGAAGGCTGTCTTCATCTATCCATATTTTGTACAGTAGCACCAGATGTGGGATCTCAGTTTGGGCACTACTAACAGTGGTGCACCTAGCTGACAAATGGTAGGACTTGAAATCATAAAATTTGAGGAAACCACTGGAAGACCTATGGGCATTTAGACCATGGACGAGATGACTGCATGGGACAGAACAGCATGATTTCATATCTGCAGGACTGTCACATGGCTGAGCATTAGCTGTGTTTTGGACAATCTGTGTATTTCTGTAAGGAATATTCTGCTGCAGAATTAGGCAGAAGAAGATGGTTGGCTAGCTATCTCAGTGAGCCACATCTCCCTCTAATCACGCAAGTCAGCGTATTTAGAACTGTGTGTGTGTGTGCTCAGTGGTGTCCAACTCTTTACAACTCCACGGACTGTAGCCCACCAGGCTCCTCTGTCCATAGGATTTCCCAGGTAAGAATACTGGAGTGGGTTGCTATTTCCTCCTCCAGGGGATCTTCCCAACCGACTGAGGGAGTGAACACAAGCCTCTTGTTTGTGTCTCCTGCATTAGCATGCAGATTCTTTACCACTAGCACCACCTGGGAAACCTAGTTAAAATGGATTAAATGTTGGTTGCGCCCTGTATCCAGAGGCCTCCTCTCCTGCAACAAAATGGAACTGGCAAATCTGGAGGATAGATTTCTGATAAAGGCACTTTAAAAACAGGCATCCCCAGGGGAAGTAATATTCTGAAGTGATGTATCTGTAGACAACTGTGTTATTTTTGGGGAAAAGAAGCCAACTATCACAGGAAGGGAATATTGTTATGGGCAAGAAATGCTAAACTTCCTTTCTTTTCATTTCCTGAAGTGCCTGGGTTTTCTTTCATTATTTAATAATACAAAGGCTCTTCATTTGTTTGTTGCCTTAAGAGTGAGGTGAAATACTCACCACTCTTTCCAGAATAACATCGTTGGTATCGACCAGTAAATCAAACTTGTCCTCCAGCTCGGTCACTTTACTCTGGTCCTTAATGTTGCTTCGGCACCCGTGGTACTGCATCACCCTACTCATGCTGGGAAGGACAGGAAAACCCAAATCAGTCTGTATACTTTTGTTTGTTTGTCTACTAATCTGGCAGAAAGCTCCCAAGGCTTAGCTCAGATTATTCCCAACACTTTCTAAAACAAAATATTTATTTATTTGGCTGTGCTAAGTCTTAGTTGCAGCATGTGTACTCTTAGTTATGGCATGTGGGATCTGGTTCCCTGACCAGGAATTGAACCTGGGCCCCCTGCAGTGGGAGTGCAGAGTCTTAGCCACTGGACCTCCAGGGAAGTCCTCCCTAATACTTTTCGATCAAACTAACAAAACCTGCACCATTATAGCAAAAAACATTGCTAGTTGCATGGCATTGGGCAATTCGCTGAATCTCACAAAGTCTTATTTTCCTCATCCATTATTTGTAGGGGTGGAAGAAATTACCCCAAGGCTTTGTTTAAATTCTAAAAAAATATATAACACCATGTAAACTATGTACTCTGCATTCACTGTTTTAACATGAAATCTAAAACAGATTCTCTAATTCTGTCATGCAACAGTTCAACAAAACCAGTGTCTGTGTAATGTCTGTCCTAATACACTTATTGGGAAGCCACTACTAAAAAAGAAAATAGATTAAAAAAAAAAATAGAAAGCTAAAACTTGTGACTACACAGGTTGTGTGAGAGAATCATGGATCTAGGTTTTCTAGTCCCATATTAATAAAAAAAATTCACTGTCTATACCTGCAATAGTCAACACATATATTTTTAAAGTTAAACTCAAAATTTACCAAGTAACATTCCCTAATCAAAATCCATTGTCATTTTTACATTTTATAGCTTTAAAGCACAGAAAATTATGATAAGAAAAAAATACAAATCTCAAGAAAAATCATCTACTTCTTCATAGTCATTTCTTTCAACATGAGAAAAGAATATATAGTACTTACCACTGAAGCAACCTGTCTCCCTGTGTTTCACAAAATGCCTGGAAGCCAGGAAAACTTCGGTAAAAATCATACTCATCACCAAACTGCGGTAGGCCTCCAGACGCCTTGGTGACTGCCACCACTACCCCAAGAGCAAACTGTCAAAACCAGAAAAACAAGCATGTTTTAGACATGGGTCACCATTCATTCAGCAGCTCATTTTTTTTCAAGATCTACTATATATAAGGAACTGTCCTAGATGATGAAGATACCCAATCTCCATGCATCATTTAGTGCCGATTTTACCCCAACTGTTATGATACAAGAATGAATGTGAAAATGAGTTTTGGAGCTTACATTCTTGGGAGAATGGGGATAGAAATAACAAATACATATATAATAAGGCTAATATTCAAAACAGCCTGGTCCTGTGACCTTGGGCAAGTTATTATATTTATTTGAGCCTTAGTTTCTGAATTTGATAAACAAGTGTAAGGGAGTTCCCTGGTGGTCCAATGGTTGATACTCTGTGCTTCCACTGATAGGGGCATGGGTTCAATCCCTGGTTGGGGAACTAAGATCCCACAAGCCACATGGCTCAGCTAAATAATAATAAGAGACACAGACAATGTAAGAATATTCTAGATCTTTCATATGACCGATTTAGAATGGCTACTATCCACAACTGGACTTGTGTTTATGGCTCAGTTACTGCCAAGGAGGTCTCTATTTCAATTTCTGTGTGGTAATGAGAAAAAAACTGAAGTGGCTCCCATGGGTAAATGATGGTTGATCACATGAAGGCCAAATGACATCACTGTAAGCTGTGTTATAAATGTTTTTCAAGAAAAAAAGAGAGAAAATGGGAACTTGAATCATGGTAGCGTTCTTGGTAGCACAGAGCCACCAATCAGGACCATGGCTAGTGGCCCAGGAATTCTTCAGAACCAAATAAATGAATTTGTGGTAATGATAAATTAGACAAAATCCAAGTGGAGTTTTAGGGAATTTGTAGTGCTAACTTACAAGCTATTTTAGTTTCATGGTCTTGTAAGAACTATGCATGAGATGTTTAATTCCACATTTGTTTGTTCATATTTAAGCACCATTAGACAAATAATCCAAATGAACTCTTTGGAAGGAGGCAATGATCAATGTTCTATGGCACCTGCAGGAGGGGCACTTGGTGGCAGCTCTAACAGGTGACATTAAACCCAGGGTATAGGATTATGTAGGGTTGGACCTCAGGAGAGGGAAGAAGGGCCATCCCGGCCGCGGGAGGAGAGGACGGCAAGTGTGGGCAGCGTGAAGCAGCCTAGCCTCTCCGGAGAGTTGTCTGAGTGACTCAGGCCTGGGCGGGGTCGGGGTCGCGAGGGCTGGGGGCTTCAGGGTGACCAGGAAGCCCTTCCTATGATGTGGCGACAGCTCTCCATGCTCGGGACTGCAAGGGTTCAAACAGGAGATCCAGGACCCTGGGGAGAGGGGAGTTCCCCAGTGTCAACGAGCGAAGCCCCATCCCCGGAGGGTGAATAGGCAGACTTGGCCGGGAGAGGGCACAAGCCCCTTTACCCTCTCCAGGGGCTCGGCTGCATCGTGCTCGCGGCCGCCCAGAGGGTCCAGGCCTGCTTCCGGTCAGCCGTGGGAGGTTCCCGATGCCCCCCGAGGCCTCACGAACTCACCTTCACGAAGCTGTCTGCGTCTGGGAAGCCCGGCAGCACCATCTCCCCGGCAGACTTGGCCGCGCTCGTGGCAGACTGGGCCTTGGACTCTCGGGGACTGGGGGGCGCCATTTTTCCGGCTGGCGCGGCTCTTCTCGCGAGAGTGCCTCGGCCAGCGCGACGTGCGCGCACTGCGCATGTGCGGAGGCAGTTCCTGCTGGGGGCGGGCTGGGGAGTTGGGACACCGGTCCCCCGCCGCACCCCCGCCTCCCCCACGCCAAGGGGGCTGACATTTTTCATTTAATCCTCGTCTTATTTCATGCCAACAACCCAGTGCTTTACGGTGAGACGCTGAGGATTCTCAACCCAGTAATTCTCAAATTTAAAGCCAGCTCTTCCTAGGCTCTGGTTTCGTGTCCCCCTGACTCACTTGATTTGACTCCTGCAATTCTCCCTCTCTGGTGTCTTCCCTCGTTGCTGATTCTTCCATAACAGACTACAAGTATGCTGGCATCTCTCCCAAACGGAAGGCAAGACAGAAAACGCCTCTCCACCCCACACCTTCCAGCCACCGCAACATTTCTCTTGCACTTCGTAGGTAAGCTACTGGAAAAGGTGTCTGTTACCTCGAGCACTCTGGAACTCCTCCAGTTAGAGGTTTTTCCTGACCCACACCGCTGGAACTACTCCTAAGGCACTTCATTGTGAACTCAAACGTTTGTAAAATGTGTATCTGCAAGAGATCTTGTTAGGAGGGAGACAGTATTAGGCAGCTCAGGAATGGATTTGGGATGCCTCTAGGGTGTATCCTCTCTCCTGAAACCAGGAATGACACACCCTTAATACAGTTTGTTTGCTTAGTAGGTGTTAAATAAATGTCAGCTTGTTTTTTTTGCCTGGCCTTGCAGGATCTTAGTTCCCTGGCCAGGGATCGAACCTGGACCCTGGCAGTGAAAGTACTGAGTCCTAACCACTGGACTGCTAGAGAATTCCCACCTTAGCTGTTTAGTCAGAATATCCTATTAACAGGATGCATTTTTCAGTCTCCCCACCCCCTCCCCAGCCATTTGTGTACCTCAGGTACACAGGTACCACGGCAGAACAAAAGCCTATTTCTTTTTATTTCTTTTTAAAAAACTAATATATTTTGGTTTATTTATTCTTGGCCTCCTGGGTCTTCACTGCTGCACACAAACTTCCTCTAGTTGCTGCGAGTGGGGGCTACTCTCTAATTGCATTTCATGGGCTTCTTCTCGTTGTGGTGGCTTCTCGTTGCTGAGCGTGGGCTCTAGAGTGCATGAACTTAGTTGCCCTGTGGCATGTGGGATCTTAGTTCTTGACCAGGGTTTGAACCAGTGTCCTCTTCATTGGAAAGCGTATGGTTCAACCTAGGCTGTGCTAAGGTGCTTTACATGGATTCGCACCTCCTCAAAACAACCTGATGGGGTAGACTCACATTTTCAGTGGAGGAAGCAAACAGAAAATAAGTAGCTTTTCTGAAGTCACACTGGTAGGATGAGACAGAGTTGAGATTTGAAACTAGTTAATTTGTTACCTAGTGGGCACAATAAAGGACAGAAACAGTAGAGACCTAGTAGATGCTGAAGAGATCAAGAAGAGATGGAAAGAATACACTGAAAAACTGTACAAAAAAGATCTTAATGAACTGGATTACTATGATCATGTGGTCAGTCACCCTGAGCCAACATTCTGGAGAGTGAAGTCAAGCGGGCCTTAGGAAGCCCTGCTGTTAATAAAGCTAGTAGATGCGATGGAATTCCAGTAGAGCTATTCAGATCCCTAAAGAATGATGCTGTCAAAGTTTTGCATTCATATGTCAGCAAATCTGGAAGACTCAGCAGTTGCCATAGGACTGGAAAAGGTCAAACCTCATCTCAATTCCCAAGAAGGGTAGTACTAAAGAATGTGCTAATCATCAGACAATTGCACTCATCTCCCATGCTAGTAAGGTCATGCTTAAAATCTTGCATGTTAGGCTTTAGCATTATGTGAACCAAGAACTTCCGGGTGTCCAAGCTGGGTTTAGAAAAGGAAGAGGAACCAGAGAATAAATTGCCAACATTCGCTGGATCATAAAGAAAGGTAGGGAATTCCAGAAAAACATCTACCTCTGTTTCATTGGGAGCACTTTCCTTCTGATGTCTATGTTAGAAGATTTCTCTGTCCCTTTTTATACTTTAGTAAAACTCTGCTACACAAAAGTTCTTGAGTGATTAAGGCTGGTCCCTGGTCCTGAAACTAAAACTTCTTCAGAGATCACAAATCTGATACTGTTCACCATAAGCTATCATCTTGGGGGCTTGCCCAGGATCTTCAGGACAAGGTAAGAACCCTCAGAGCTCTAGCCTCTCTGCGTTCTCAGTACACACGTTTTCTGACTAACTCTACGGTGTGCTTGTGTGAATGAATGACACGCCCTGTGCAAAGCAAGTGATGAGCCCTGCTCTGTGGTGCCTCGTAATGACTGAAGGCAGCTCCAAAAAGGGGAGCCTTGTTGGGGGTTTATACTGACCTGCCAATGCCAAAAGACACTCAACACCCTTGCAAAGGAAGCGGCCAGAAATGGGCGAAGCATGTGACCCAAACTTTCCTTTCTGGGTTAGCTTTTCCTGTTCTCTTTGGCTGTTTCATAACTGAATGGGTAATTAGAACTATTAACCTAATCTGTTGGATCACAGACTTTCAAGGGACTTGTAATCCATGCTGTTACTATGTGCTTTTACTTAGACTCCCTGTGTGGAAGCGCCTAGCCTTGCTAGGAGCTGAAAGTTGCAAGAGCACGTTTGGGAGTGAGGTGCAACTGTAGCTCCAGGAACGTCTCTCAGGCTAGAGGTCACTCTTTTGGCTGCCTGCCTCAGGGGCCAGAGTCCTAAAAGTGAGTCTTTGTCATGGCTGTGCCTCCGATTTATGTGGATAGAAGCACTGCTGGTGACTGAGGTTTTTGAGGACACAGATTGGGAATTGCAGGATCTGGTCAGATTGGAAGTGTAATGGGCTGCTTCTTTGGGTAGTACAGGGCTTCCCTTGTGGCTTAGTGGGTAAAGAATCTGCCTGCAATGCAGGAGACCTGGATTCGATCCCTGGGTTGGGAAGATCCCCCGGAGAAGGGAAAGGCTACCCACTCCAGTATTCTGGCCTGGAGAATTCTGTGGACTGTATAGTCCAGGGAGTCACAAAGAGTCGGACACGACTGAGCGACTTTGACTTCTGTTTCATCAACTATGCTAAAGCCTTTGACTATGTGGATCATAAAAAACTGTGGAAAGCTCTTAAAGAGATGGAAATACCAGACCATCTTACCTGTCTCCTGGGAAAGCTGTATGCAGGTCAAGAAGCAAATTTAGAACCCTGTATGGAACAACTGATTGGTTCAAGATTGAGAAAGGAGTATAACAGGGCTGTCTGCTCTCACCCTCTTTAACCTATATGCTGAGCACATCATGAGAAATGTTGGGCTGAGTTACAAGCTGGAATCAAGATAGGTGGGAGAACATCAACAACCTCAGATATGCAGATGATACCACTCTTATGGCAGAAAGTGAAGAGGAACTAAAGAACCTCTTGATGAGGGTGAAAGAGCTGACTTAAAACTAAACATTAAAAAACTAAGATCATGTCATCTGGCCCGTTGCTGCTGCTGCTGCTAAGTCACTTCAGTCGTGTCTGACTCTGTGCGACCCCATAGATGGCAGCCCATTGGGCTCCCCGTCCCTGGGATTCTCCAGGCAAGAGTACTGGAGTGGGGTGCCATTGTCTTCTCCGTCTTGCCCCATTACTTCATGGCAAATAGAGGGAGAGAAGGTGGAAGTACTGACAGATTTCCTTTTCTTGGGCTCTAAAATCACTGCAGATGGTGATTACAGCCATGAAATCAGAAGATGATTGCTCTGGCAGGAAAGCTATGACAAACCTAGACAGTGTGTTGAAAAGCAGAGACATTACTCTGACGACAAAGGTTCCTATAGTCAAGGCTATGGTCTTCCCAGTGGTCACATACAGTTGTGAAAGCTGGACTTGTAAAGAAGGCAGAATACCAAAGAATTGATGCCTTAGAACTGTGGTGCTGGAGAAGACTCCTGAAAGTCTCTTGGACAGCAAGGAGATCAAACCAGTCAATCTTAAGGGAAATCAACCCTGAATACTTGTTGGAAGGAATGATGCTGAAGCTGAAGCTCCAGTATTTTGGTCATCTGATACAAAGAGCTGACTCATTGGAAAAGACCCTGATGCTGGGAAGGATTGAGGGCAGAAGGAGAAAAGGGCATCAGAGGATGAGATGGCTGGATGGCATCACTGATGCAATGGACATGAACTTGAGTAAACTTCAGGAGATGGTGAGGAACAGGGAGGCCTGGTGTGCTGCAGTCCACGGGGTCATAAAGACTTGGACACGGCTTGGCAACTGAACAGCAACAATTTGATACCATAGCCTTGACTCTCACTGCTTTAGTTGTCTCTAAGATATTTAAGGCCCTTCCCTCACACTGGTTACTTGAAACCATCCTGGATTAATAGGGGGATTAGGCTGTCTTTAAAAGCTTCTACAGAATTCCCTGCAGTCTAGTGGTTAGGACTCTGAACTTTAACTGTCAAGGGCTGGGGTTCATTCCTGCTCAGGGAACTCTGATCCCACAAGCTACGTGGTGAGGCATAATATTAATAATATAAAAGCCTCTATTAGCACCTCAACTTCCTCTGCTAAATCGTTTCAACAGTCAGAAGGTTTTGCTTAGATATAACTTAAAACCCATTGAATTCACCAAACATCTTAATGCCAAGAACTTTCCATGTCCTAAGAAATATGTCTTTATTATAGGTGGCCACCATTTTCCTGAGTCCATCCATTCTCATGCCATTTGTCTTACAGTGATGGTGACATCACTGTAGTCATTGATAGTTATTTCACATAGAACTTGGTCATATTTTGGGGAGCAAAATATTTATTCTTGGCTGTGTCAGGTCTTAGTTGCAGTGCCTGGGCTCCTCGTTGCTGCACACGGGCTTCTCCGTAGTTACGTGGGCTTTGGCATGTGGCATCTTAGTTCCCTGACCAGGGATCAAACCCTCGTCCCCTGCATTGGAAGGCTGATTCCTAACCACTGGACCATCAGGGAAGTCGCACTACTGAGGTTTAAGTCCATCTGATTTTAATAGGAGTCCTCCAATAAGTGTTTATGGAGCATCACGTGCACCTGCTCTTCTGACGGATTTGAGGGATACAAAGTCCCATAAAATATGGCTCCTGGCCTTATAATTCTCATCCAAGTGCAAGTGTTAGTCACTCAGGCGTTTCTGACTGTTTGCAACCCTATGGACTGTAGCCTGCCAGGATCTTCTGTCCATGGGATTCTCCAGGCAAGAATACTGGAGTGGGTTGCCACTCCTTTCTCCAGGGAATCTTTCCAACCAAGGGATTGAACCTGGGTCTCCTGCATTGCAGGCAGATTCTTTACCGTCTGAGCCACCAGGGAATAAGTTCTTTTTAAAAAATTTTTGTTGACGTGTAGTCGATTTACAATATTAATTTCTGCTGTACAGCAAAGTGACTCAGTTAATTCTTTTTCAGATTCTTTTCCATTATGGTTTATTACAGGACATTGAATATAGTTCCCTGTGTCACAGTAGGGCCTTGTTGTTTATCCATTCTATATGTAATAGTTTGCATCTGCCGGTCCCAAACTCCCAATCCTTCCCTCCACCTCTTCCCCCTATGCCCTGGCAAACACGTCTGTTCTCTATAACTGTGATTCAGTTCTGTAGATATGTTCATTTGTGTTGTATTTTCTTTTTTTGGTTGCATGGTGCAGTATGCAAGATTAGTTCAACCAGGAATTGAACCCATGCACCTGTCAGTAGAAGCACAGAGTCTCAATCACTGGCGCGCCAGGAAAGCCCCTATTTGTGTCATATTTTAGATTCCACATATAGGTGATACCATATGGTATTTGTCTTTCTTTTTGACTTACTTCATTTAGTATGATAATCTCTAGATCCATTTTACAAGTTCTTTGAATCACTTTTATAATGAGTCAGTAGTTCTTACTGGGTAGCTGTGGTCCACAGAAATTTAGAAAAAGAAATCTAGCTCAACAACTGAACAGTATTTTTTCTGAAGAACCCGTTAGGCATGTTCTTTAGAGGAATCTATATCTAGTACTTGCTGGCTCCGTTTAAGTTCTGTCTTCATTATTGCAACAGCTTTTTTACTAGGTTTTGCAGCTTTTAATTTTCTTTCCACCTGTTTGATAACAGTTTCTTTAAAAAACACTACTGAGATTCTACTTGTTTTAAAACTTCACATGGTTCCTTCCCTGCCATCCACAGCATCAGGTTCAGACTCCTTGCCGCTGGATTGTGAGGCAGCCGGTCTGGCCTGGATCTACTTTCTAGCCTCCTTTTAGTCCCTTTATTTCCCAGTGACCACTGAGCCGGGCATACTGAACTGTGAGGTCCCAGTGTGTGAAACTGCTGTTTTTATGTATAAAAAGCGGCCTAATACCTGAAATCTCACAAGGTTCAGGTTCACACGTGCCCCTCCTGTACGGTATTGTGCTTTCACACCTCTTTTCTGATGAAGACGTCCTCACTTGCTTCATTTGACAGACTCCCACTCCCACTTAAGACCCCCGGCAAGTGTCCCCTTTCTGTGAGGCTCCCAGTGGAACCAGTGCCCCCTACCCAAGGCTCTCATGGCTCTCTCTTCTCACCAGGTGGCCCGGTGGCTCCTGAGAGATGTGGCTCTGTCTTGTCTGGCCTGGGAACACCTGAGGACAGGGATCACAGCACATAGAACCCTGTCCTGCATAGTCCCAGTACTCAGTGTTGGTGAATGTTGAAGGAATAACTTTCTTTCATGAACTGACTAATATACAGGAATAAAAAGCCACTCATATTCATGTTTTTAAAATTCTGATGTCGTTTATTGGCACAAAAATTATTCAGATACAACATGGTGTCTAGACATGGCTACACTTTATACTTTGTGCATTTCATGTAAGATTTCTTTTGCTCCTACTTCCCGACATGTACTAGACCTTCCCTCTCTGTGTCAGCACCTCCACGACAGCATTTCCGTATTCCAAGGCCTTGCTCCAAACAGAGGGCATTCAGACCTCACTGAAGACATCCCAGAACCAGGCCGGGAAGGCCAGTGTGGGCCTCCGCCTGCACTGTGATCCCCTCTGTGCACCTGCCCAGCCGAGGCTGCCCGGCGATCTGAACAGACTCTCCTCTGAGTGGCTCGGGTCTTGGCTTGAAGTATATATGTCGCAGTGTGGTGGGTGAGGCAGAAGATTGACCTTTCCCACCCATTTTGGCCCATCTTCCGAGGGTTGTTGCTGCGTCCACGGACCAGTGAGGTAATGAGATGGGCGAAGGCGATGAAGTCAGCTTCTCCGTGTCTTTACAATCCAGAGTCCTAATCCGTGTCCTCCATGACCTGAGGCTTCGTGACTGCGCTGAGTTTGCTGTGTCCATGTTGAGAGGAATGACTAGGCCATTCTCCTGTCAGCAAACACTTCTGAGTTCTTTTGTGAGTTAAGTCAAAACCCGTATTTCTAAAGTTATAGATCTTCTGTTCCCCAAAATCAAGGGCTTGATTTCTGAAGTATTACTGTGTTTACTGTCCTGGGAACCAAATCAAGCCTTGTGTTTCCGACAATATATTCTTTAACAGCAGCTAGAAAGTTGGTTCAAACCAACTTATAATATACAGTAGTTCTTTTCATTTACATTTCAGAGCTGAACTTTCTGACCATGGTTTCAGTTTAGTGGAAGCAGATACCAAAGTACAAAAGCCTCAAGAGAAGTGCTGTGGGCACGTCTGTGCCTCCAGTTACCAGAAAGGACACCTAACGAGACAGGGAGAAAAGGAATATTTTAATAATCTGGGCTTCTTCAAAGCTTTACGCAGATACACTGAGAATGGAAACAGCAAGGTCTGCCCACCCCCAGGACCCTCCTTGAGATCTCCCACAGTTAATTGTGCAGGACAGGTGTTATCGTTTCCAGCCCAGGCCAGACGCCTGCTGTGGTCCCACAAGGACACCTCCCTGTCACCCTCTCTAGTTTCTACCTTCAAGCATGCCTCAGGCAATTAATCAAAGCAGACCCCAGAATGGTCCTTGAGGTTACAATCACAGATGATAAATCTGTCTTTTCATCTCCTTCTCTGTCACCCCTCTGGCTGCTTCTCCTTTGCCCTTCCTGTATCTCTGAATTGACAGCAAAAACCCCAAAAGAACACCCCCACTCCTCAAATAAGGGGGCCTCACCTATTCGTCTAAGTCAATTTAACATGTCATTTTAATTCACTTTGGTGTTTGCCTTCCAAATACACATCCATATGTCTCCATTTTCTCCTTTTTGGAACAATGAGCACATCCAGTGAGTATAAACTTTTGAAGAGACTTGAGACACAGTTTCCCTATATGGACACCCAATTTCACTGTATGGATCCCCACCCCGCCCCCCCCACCCCCCTCGCCGCCGCCCCATGCCAACATCTTTTTTTGCAACTCTGGCTTTGGGGCACAGGGTAGGGGCCTGATTGCTTATTTGAACAGAGGTGCTCACCAGCCAATGTAGCACTGGCAGAGGTTTTCATGGGATGTCGCTTGTTTGATGAGCAGCTCGACTTGTGTTGGGACATCCAGGGTTTCGTCATGAGAGAAGTCCCGACCTAGGACATGAGGAACAAAAGCGTCCAGTGTGCACCAGGTCCCAACCACCCAGCTCCACCATCCCCCAGCCAGGATCAGCTGTCCACACCGCCTGAATCAGCTCCCCCTCATAAGTGAATATAAATGCTATATACTACTTGGATTTTTAAATTCACCTCCATGTGACCCATAAACACCTAATACATACCAATACACACACTAATATATACTCGGCTCTTGGTTTACAGTAGGTAAAGTCCGACAGTGGGCAGAGTACAGGAGTGGCAAAGATCTGGCCAGTGGGCTTCTATTCCATAATCACCCTTGAGTCGGGCAAGTGGCCAAGGAGCCTCTTTCACTCCTACCAGCCTCTCCTTCCAGCCCCTTGTCCTGCAGGGCTGCCTGCTTTCATCACACACTCATAGTCTCCTGCCTTACATGGGCGCTCAGTACTGCCTGGCCAGCTCCTCTGGCTGTACACCCTTCCATCTCCACCATGAAGTTCTCTCCTCTTCTCGAGCGTCCAAACCTCTCCTCTGGCTCCTTACCCTTGGCAGGGGACCTCATTTTCTCCTCTAGAGCCAACTGATTCACTAAGGGCAGAGTTCAGGGCCCTGATATGTTGGGCTATGTTCGAGGTGCCAGCTTTTGTTTAACATGGGCTCCCCCTTCTTCTTTTCCATCACCCCAGAGAGTGGGCCCTCCTCCCATTTAAGGCCAAGTTCACCCGCACTGTGATCCACCACCTCCTCTTTGTCAGGAGCCTTACAATACCAACCATCCTGCCTCTCACTCACGTGTGCAAACCCTCCCTCTCATGTGCTCACTTTTCTGTAAACACGTTCCTCCTCCTGTTGAAGGAAACAGAACCGCTCATCCAACTTCTCCCTCTTCGGCTATGTCCTCTCTCCTCCCCGCACAGCCAGACTTCCTGAGAGCTTTGAAACTTGTCTCCGTTCCTTCTCTCTCTCACTTTGCATCTCTTTCACTGCTTTATTCTGGCTGCCAGGCTCATCAGAGCTCTCAGAGGGCCACCAGAGACCCGGAACCCTCCCGATCTCTCCCCACCCCTCACAGCCCATCATCAATCCTTTGCATTTTCCTCCTAACAGCTCTCAACTCCATCTCCACTGCCACCCTTGTCTAATCAGCTGTCCAGCTGGCACTGACTGGGGCAGCTGCTTCCTTCCCTCTAGCCCCTGCTCCCACCTCAGTCAGAGCAGCAGGATCTCACAATGCAAACCTGCCCAGCTCCCCTCCACCCCCTTAAAACTCTCCAGTGGTTTCTCACTGCCCACAAGATACAGGGTAAAAACAAGGCCCTGCATGGTCTGGCCCTGGCCCTCTCAGAGTCCAAACACTTTGCATTATGCTCCTCTCACCCTTCTTGGGGGCAGTTTGGCCTGCCAGGCTCTCTGACCTTTTTTCCTTGCTATCCTCCCTCCTACCACAGGGTCTTTGCACATGCTGTTTCCTTTACCTGGAAGAATCTGCCCTAATTAACTCCTCTAGCAAATTTTAGCTCCTAGGTAGTCTGCTGAGGGAAGCTTTTCTGGAACTCTTGGACTTAAATTCCCCTGTTACTGTCATCACAGCCTTAGTCTCTCTTCCACTTAAAACAGTATTCCTCTTTAGAGTCCAAGTCCCATGAAAGCAGGGAAGATGCCTATTTTTAACTGACACTGTTTCTTCAACATCTAGAACTTGCAGGTCCTTAATGAACCAATATGCCTTAACAGAGCTTATGTGCTGGGCCTCCCACATCCCAGTTCATCCTCACCGCCTTCTGAGTGAGGTGTCACTTTCTGGCCAGAGGAAGAGACACAGGCCTGCAGGGCCCCAGCTGTGGTGCTGGGCCTTTGGCCTCCCTGCCTCCCAGCCCCACGTCACACCATTTGGTCAGTGTGACACGTCTTCTGTTCAAAAGTACACGGTGTTCCCATCCAGGCCCTCCACTCCATACAGCTACCTGAGCACAGGTGGGCACTGAACCAAGGGGTCAGATTTGCTCTAATTTCGGCCATGATGATTAATTTTCTTGAATTTGGCTGACTTTGGACTCAACAGAACTTTACTGTTAACCTTCACTGTTAAAACGAGACTAATAACACTACTTAAAGGAAGTTCATTGGTCATTAGAGAATCAGAGAGGATCCTTCACTGATGGCCTCAGAGATAGTCCAGTTAGCAGCACAGGGTCACAGTTTAGGCACCAGTACCACTGGGAACTGGGCTGAACACCCACTCAAGGAGGTTTTACGTTCCTTTTAAGTAAACACATATACACACTCACCAGTGAGCTTATCTCGAACCCTGTTAATAATTTGAATAGCTTTCTTATTTAGGGCCTCTGGTTTCACCAAACCATCTCCAACTAGAATAAAGAAAAGCAGAAATAATAGTAAGACTGGATCATCATAACAGGTTCAATGCACACCCCTGTTTTTCTCAAATATTCACTTTTGTTAAGTGTGGAGCAATTCCTCCTCTTTGTTTATCTTTGTCCTCAGAATATAATGAGAAATTCATGGGACCTTTGCTGCTCAAAGGCAGTTCTGTTGCTTCCTCTTACTGACCCTCCTCCTGGTGTTCACAGCTGCTCTTTTCTTAATGAGCTAGCTGATGCAATTCCTCAGAGGCTGGACTTACTGAAAGAATGAATAGATTCTGGCACTGTGGTCCCCGTTTTCTTATGGGCTGGTTCCCCAAGTTCCACACCATCCAAAATTTCTAGGAGGAAAAAAAATCAGCAGAAAATTCAAACACCAAGAAGCCACTGTTCCAAGGTATTAGCTCTAATTCTTCATGTACGATCTCCCTTTTAACACCTGTCCCACCTGTCTCAGAGGAGAAAGGAAATAGGATGTGTTATGCTCTTTATGAATTTAACATTTTTTAGGGAGTTCCTGGGTTGTCCAGAGGTTAGGACTCAGCACTTTCACTGCTGTGGCTTGGGTTCAATCCCCGGTCAGGGAACTGAGATCCTGCAAACTGCTTGGCACAACTCCCTCACCCCCTCAAAGAAAGATTTGAAATCTGCATGAAAACATACAGCATTAATAAAATGTTCTGACATACAGAATAGGCTCACAGGTCAAAGACCTGGCCACAAAATTTGGTTGGTTGGACCCAAACTGGTCATAACATAAAGAAAACTAGCTTTCAAAGGATCACACACGTGACTGAAATGTTATTCCTTGGAGGAATATACATCAACTCTGGGGAGAAGTCCACAGGCTTTAGGCTCACCCTCTGCTGACTGTGGCCTTCAGGAGAGGCATCTACAATCAGAACTCTGAAGCTATTTATACACTGCCCTGGGACATGACAGGTCTTCAAAGAGAAGCTAGTGATGATAATACTTTAATTAATGAGTCCCTGGAACTTAACTTTTGAGGCACATACAAGCAACCAGGTCTACCACCACTGGTGCCACCAGCACAAGCTGTCCTAACTCCCCTTGGTATATCACAGGCGGCGCATGGGAGTCACCCAATAATGTATTAACAAGGCAGACCCTGAGAGTTAGACCAGTGAGTGTCACATAATCTGGGTGAGACCAGTCATCCACATGAGGCCCCCAGACACTGTGGGTGATTCAGGGATTCCCAAGTCCTATCACAGTGTCCAGGGTAGAGTCCAAGCTATTTGTGGATGACATGGATCCAGGATGCCCATTTTGTGCCGAGAACACTCTCTTCCTTTCTACCCATCCAGATTCCACTCATCCAGTAAGGCTCAGCTTCAATTCTACCAGCCCACGGGCTCCCTTAACCCTCGTGGTTCAGAGTGATACCTCCTTTCTAAGGCCTACCA